TAGTACTGGTGCGGGGAGCGGCCTTAGTAGTAGTGATGTCGCACGGATTGACAGTAGTACTGGTGCGGGGAGCGGCCTTAGTAGTAGTGATGTCGCAGGGATTGACCGTAGTACTGGTGCGAGGAGCAGCCTTAGTAGTAGTGATGTCGCAGGGATTGACCGTAGTACTGGTGCGAGGAGCAGCCTTAGTAGTAGTGATGTCGCACGGATTGACCGTAGTACTGGTGCGGGTAGTGGTAGGGGAGCAGGGAGGCTCTGTAGTAGGTACATGTGTTGGACGAGGGGTGGAAGGAACGGCAGTGGTGAAGGGAGGACCGCTCGGACAAGCAACAGGGGCACCAGAACAGTTGGCGTCGTCGGAGACTCCTGTAACGTAGCATAAAGTGTTATCCTTCCTGCGCTTGAATCCATAACAGACCGCTGGACGCTGCCAAAACTTGCAATAGGAACCTTTCCCAGAACTAGCACATGCCGTACTATCGCCGAGATCGTGGCACATCTGGGCACACGGATCAGTTGTCACCGAAACAGCAACGACAGAGAATGAAACCAAGAAAGCGACAACTGTATTCATGGTGCAAGGAAAAATTAAGGGGAAAACTTGGGGCGAAAGCAGTAATGTGGCTGCTGGTTTCACTGTGAGTCACGAGGAATAAGTGACGCCAAAAGGAACTCGAGCCGTGTCACGTCACGCCTAGAACCCGTAAGCTGTCTTGTCTCGAGAGTTCAAGATTGCTCAACTGCTGTTGACAAGCAACTGTTGAACTGCAGGACACTTGGTGAGAACAGGGGCATATTTCACTAATCCTTAGTCTGAAGTCGCGACTGACGTAGCAAACCTCGCTATAGCAGGGTTGTGACTCAAGTTAGGTGGGATATAGTAGAGCTTAGTATGGGGCCAAACGGTCTACGTGATTCACGAATCGTAGAATGAGCTAGGCTATCTCGCGTGCTGAAATCCGTGCTAAACGCTAAGTGCAATATGTCCCTGAGCATGATCGAATAGAGGGTCTGTGATGAAGGACGAGGTAATCACCTGCACTTTCACTTAGAGAATACATGACATGAACTATGTAGAACATGACGCAGGTCTCTTCATGACAGAAGATACGTTGTCTATTCTGTCCACTCCTGCCGGAGGAGACAGGTTACCTGGAGCTCTCGCAGGGTTTCAATCGGCTATGACTACCATGAGTGAGGTAGCCTACAAAAGGACACCGGCTACGACTATCATGAGTAAAGTCGCCACAGCAACAATAGTAACACAGTGTTACAGGTGACCTCACCCATGGCGGTGACCGCCAGTGACGTCCTTTTCGAAAAAGGAGGTCTTTGAAAAAAGGTCACGACCTTTTCGCAAAGACCATGACTTGAACAACCAATACGAGTTCCCACCAATGCATCACCGCCACTACAAGAATCACCTTAGTTTGACATTGCTCAATTACCTTCTAACATGTTAGGCTAACATGTTAGCCATCTATAGATCTCTACCCCTAGCTGAAGATGGTATTTGTCAACGGGCTGACCGTCAGCCACTTGTACAGAAAATTGCCGTTAGCCGCTGACGGCGATTCTCTGTACAATTGTGCTGAGTTCTGTCATTCTCTCAAGCATACTGCTCCTGGCCCATAGTCCCGGAGCCCCAGCCCCAGCCCCATAGCCCCAGTGATCCCAGGAGTCCTGGGATCACTGCTATCGGATAGCAGCTATCCTCAAGTGCTATTCCGATGACTAGTATCTGAAGCCAACTACAATCGCCTTCGAAGAAGCAGCTAAGAAAGTCTCAAGAAGCTGCATCACTTGTGCTCTCGTCAAGACCGACCCTGGCAATAGACAACCCAAGAGTCTCAACGATATAGTCATCCCTGACCGACCACTTAAAGCAGCCAGTTCACGCTATGACTACAACAACCAATGGTTCGAGCGGTGAATCCTTCTCCATTAATTTGGTCTGTCAACTCACTAATCCACTCTTATGTTACCCCACTGTTGATGTACCGGCGGTCATCGAATCGATGGCATCGATATACAACAGGCAGCCAACCTACCCCATCGGCTCTATCATTACCCACTACGGAGGATTTTGACCGACGACGCTAGTATCATCAAGTCGGCTTCGAGATCTATGCCCTCTGTTCAATTCGATTATGGACCTGCCTTAGACTACGACGTAGACTTTCTTTCTTGACAACTGCTTTTGTTGACGAGGAAACTTGGTTCGAGGCTGTCTCTCGTGCGGCTTATGAGATCAATTCTAGCTCTGATCTCCTTGCCCATGGACTCTCACCGTTAGACATGCTTACTGATGGTTCGGGTACTTCTCCCGTCGATCCCAGCGAAATATGTGAGTTTCCAGATGATAAATGTATTATTTGGAGGAAATATAAGCATGACTGTCGTGAGGGTACTCCAGTGGAGGATCACTAAAGCCACAGTAATCAACTTATGATGACGCAAATCAGTTAACCGTCCCGAGACCACCCACTGGAGCATGGAACATCTGGGTCAATTACAGTCATCTCCTCAGGAGGTGACCAGGCTGGTCATATGCAGCTAACCTTGCCTCTTCAACGTCTTGTAATTGCGGATTCATAGAGGTTGCGAAGTACGAAAACAGCAGAACATACATTGGATATCCTTCTCACATCGCCCCAATACGATGTAGAACTTGCAACCTCATCTCAAAAACGGCTGAAAACTCAACTCGGCCGGTCAATCACAACTCTTGCTCGGCATCTTTGAATCTGGAAACGGCGTTGAACATCGTCCGAATTTGCGTTCTCCGATTTCATCTCTGTCCCAGGCTTTCTTTGTGAATTCCCTTCTCTTCTCTGTTATCTTGGGTTAGCGGAAGACCACCGCTCTGTCACACGTAGTCCCAGGTTCGACCCCTGCCAGTTACAATATTCGAGTACGGTACTCCGAAAGGACCCTTGTTCAACCCCTGTGGAGTACAATATTTGCTTGTATTAACCAACTTAGGGCGCCTCTAAGTGTTTACTCGAGCAATGAAATGGCCAGCCGGAATCACTTATGGCTACTCAAGGCGTTACTCAAGTTCAAGACGTAATTGGCTCCTATGAAACAGACCCACCATCCTGTATTTTCTATAGGTGTCTTCATTGAACTAGCTCCCCGGTTTCTAGGCTGTTACCTTCTGATGACGGGCCACAGTCACGCATAATGGATGAGTGAGACATAACTCCCTCAACGTTTGTTGACGTTCGACTCGTTCACCTATTGTATTAGTGTCACCGGAGAGCATACAATCGCATGAGCGTCAGGCCATAACTGGCTGGAACGATGAATCGTCCTGCATGGTATAGATTTTCAAGCCGGGACTCCATTAGGTGTTCTCGGTGAGGACCCTTTAAGGTCGTTCTGTGAGAGTTGTGGTCAGTCGATGTCATCTTTTTCCACTGCAATGTCATCTGCTACACTGCCTTCACTACGACCTGTCACTATCGCCACTCATAGTGGTAAATTCCATTGCGACGAGGTACTCGGCACGGTCATGCTCGATAAGATCCTCGGCGGATCAAAGAACTACAGTACTAGGGATGGTGGTCTGCGGCTGCTCTCACTTAAATATTCTGACATCATTATCCCACCGAAACGGTTTTACACTCATGATTCGTATCGCTGCTCTTTATTGTGAAAAACTTCGTAGAAAATCAACAGTGTTTGACGGGAAGAGTTTTGATCAGATTTGGTACGGACACGAAACCCAGAGGTCATCAGCAAGGCCGATATAGTTATAGACGTTGGTGCCGAGTTTGGTAGGCCCTCCTTTCGAGAACCTCAGTAGTAGTAGTAGCTAATCCTTGCAGACCCACCACGTCGCCGCTTCGACCATCACCAGCGAACTTTCGATGAGAAGTTCGACGACGAGAACAGGGTGTCAAGACTGAGCAGTGCTGGGTTAGTATACAAGTAATCAACAATTTCGTTATCGCCCTCTAACTAATAATAGTAACCACATGTTGAGAGTAGACGGCTCAGATACTTCGGCCGGGAGATGCTGCGTAATGTGTACAATGTTACTGATGATAGGAAGCTCGATATTCTATACAAGAAGCTCTATAATGACTTCATAGGTGTGTAGATCTCATCACTAACTCAGTCCGTGAGTGTTCGTCCCTTTAGAGTCCGTGGATGCGATTGACAACGGTGTTCCGATAGCCGACGAAGCCCCGAAGTATCATACACTGAGACTTCCTCTCTCCGTATGGAATCAACTTCAACAGGTACCGCGTTTTCACCGATCTGGCTTCTCGGGTTAGCCGTAAGAATCCCAGATGGAATGAGCCGGAAGTTACTTCGGAGATGGAAGAAGAGCGTTTCAGGTATTCTTGGGGGGGGGCAGTGGCGGGATCTTATCGGGCTTGTTTAGACAGGCGATGGCGATCTGCGAGGAGGAGTTGTCGGCACAGATAGAGACCATTCTCTCGAGTTTCATACCGGCAAGAGAGATCGTAGAGGAAGCGATATCGAAGAGGTTTGAAGTAGCATGGGGTTTCATTGGACGAGTTGTCAACGGTGCGGTCACGACTTGAACTGACTGGTGAGATATAAATCAGGTCCATCCTTCGGGACGAGTGATTCACCTCGCTCGTGGGTGTCCATTCGCGGAGCATATCTTCGAAATCGAACGTGAAAAGGGGTTGGCTACCGAAGCCTCGAAAAACGGTGATGCCACGAAGAGGAAAGCCGATACATCCAGTACGTCTGGGATACCCGTGCATGATATCATCAGATCTTCTTGGTAGGTATCTTATACGTTATATACTCCGATGCCACTGGAGGGTACAGAGTACAAGCAGTTGGTGTAAGTTCTTTGGGATGATAACACGTTGATATGAAGTGTATCGTAGAATTTCAAGTATATATACGATTTTCAGCTTCTTCCATGAAGTCTTCAGCAATTCTATGACGCCACTTGGCTCTCCTCGAGCTTCGTTCACTTTGCTGTCCCCGGGCCGGAGTCGTTCGGTCAGAGTGAAGTCTACTGGTTCAGGTTGAAGGGCATAACTTTCTTTCTCGGAAACCTCTACCGTCTCGCTTTCGAGGAGTCCGTGATGAAGATCTATCCAAGTTGGCTGGTATCGACGGCCTTATTTTCGTAAGCCAACGGTGATATCAGCGATCATGTAAACTGCTCGGTAGGTTCACGCCAGTGGATTCATAGGAGGCGCCAAGACCTATGAAAGTGCCAAGAAGCTTGCTGCACTCGGAATAGTGGAAGACGATGATTGATAATCGACCGCACTCTGATGGGATCAAATCTGACGTTTCCAATGCTGAAATAACGGTGTTGCGCTCCACTAGGGATTTTCATTGGCGCCGCGCGGCTTGATTTTGAAGCAATACTTGCTGAAGAGTTCCTCATATCATTCGAGAAGTCAGTGAGCGCAAACAAGAGGCCCGTTATCTTATGAGGGACGAGCGCTGCTAGTCCCTCAGCTGAGTCATGAAGTGCTATTGAGTTAAGATCATCAATGGTGATCAAACGATACCATTCCTTCCAATGACCATGAGTGGTTTCAATAATAACCTCGACATTCAAACAAAGCTCGTAGAGCTTATAATGTCGACGTAGAAATATAAATGTAAATAAATGGTCATGCATCGGAATGTATATCTTATTATATGTAATTATAATGTAATAATTGCCAATACCGCGTCGGAACCGTGGAGGCTAAAAAGTTTCATAATGTAATAATTATATTTTCGATCAGTTTCGTATTTTCCCTGTTGAACTCCCCAAAGAACAACAAAACATCGCTAAGATTTGAAAAACGTCATCAGTTGTTGATAGGTGGTCTGAGGACATCCATCTCGACGGGCTTCTGAGTTTGCCACAGTCCAGTGACCAGATCGAAGAAATACTCCACCTGAATTACTCCAGGAAATTCAATACGATGCTCATCCATCTATACGTATCACTCCGCCTGAGGTAAGCTGGATCCAATAGCAGTAGTATTGGCTGCTCAGCTCCTCCACCCGCGACATGTGTCGTTTGCTGCTACAATGTGACGACCAGCTACTCCAAGTTGCCGGGCTCTGGTCACAAAGTGGGCAATAGAGGACATCTGCCCAGTAGGATGGGGCAATCCCTGTGATGATGATAGCATCATCGTAGTGCGAGGAGAATATCATCTACCTCGAGGAACGATACCAAATTCCGCAGGTGTATCGCCCTTGTAGAACTGGCGGGCATAATGTATTCTGAAGTCCGTATCGTGCATCAACATACCGTGTGCGTTGGTAGATAGGTACTTCTCGGCCTGATCCACAACGAGGAAGTCTGGCTGCGAAAAAGCATATTAGCAAGACCCTCACCTTGATATGGTTCTTCCCAGATAAATGCATTTGAACAGACCCAATGCTAGTCATCTTGGCATCACAGAATTCGCAGTAATAGTAGCCGTCCTCCAGCAACTAGCAAGGACCTGTCCGGACTGGTGCTTCATAGCCACACCCACTTTAACGCAATCTGGTAGCTCCTGGTCCACGACCGCGCCCTCTTCATAATACCACATAGCATTCTTGTGCTTTTTACCACCTTAAAGACAGCAGAACTATAGTGCGTGTCAATTTGATATGCAAATGTGTGTTATTTTCCGAGATTAATGAAAATCAATTTGAAACTATATACAATGTAACAATGGCTATGAACATGTGTTGGGATCAAAAAACCCGATTGGGACTGCGATAGCGACAAGCCATTCACTATAATTTCAAATTATAGTATAATTTGAAATTATAGTGAATTTCAAAATATTAATTTGTCCTACAAAATAACACACATTTGCATATCAATCTGACACGTAATATATAACTTGTAATCCTGTTATTTAATAACCCCTCAAAAAAGCCCGAAACAATAGGCCTACCTGTGTGTTGTTCAAAGGCGCCCTCGTCCCAAGCTGTTACATCACAGACACCACAATGCCATTTACCCAAACCACGATACCCGATCGGGGGTATCAACGCCCCCGTGGGCCCCCTGTGTGACCGAGCCCTCGGAGGACTGCGAGCCCGATACATTGGTTGAGGCCCCGCCGCTCTAAGAAACCCTGACTGGGCCTTCTGCCTTCGCGAGTGGGGCTTGCGTATCGATTATAAG